CCAACCCACCCGAGAAGCCCAGCTTATCTTTCATAACTTCAAGTCAGTTCTCTAAACCATGTGTCCTAATTTTATGGGTATGTTTATAATCAAGAAATGACAATTTGTCTCTTATATCAAGGTTAAAACCATTGGTAAAAAATGTTAGTGGAGACAAAGTGCTTGATCTGTGTTGATGAAGGTTGTTGCTTCTATCAGTAACAAACTTTAACCTATCTATAGCTTAGTTAGAAAGCCAGTTCAATGCAAGTAGTTTTGGGACTTTATATTGTAGTGACTAATTATCTTAAAATGCACACTTGAAAAGTACATGAAGTTTTATTTGAACAACTAAATTCCTGGAAAAAGTTAGGCTAGGCTTATTATGTGTTCTGAGTGCTAACATTCACCTAGTTTACACTGCTCAGTATGTCAGTATTCAAGTATCTGTTAATTGTTCCCACTGTGATGCATTGCTTTTCATAGATGAATATATTGCTTACATTGTATAAGTCAGGCATTAAAACTATAGAATTAAAAGAAAACAAATGTGAAAAGACTAATTTGAAATTATAAACATATGTAAACTGAAAATGTGGCAACAAATGATGTATTCAAATGAAAATTCACATAGAATCTTTAGTAAAAATAGTTGATTACAAAATCTGATCTCTTGTGTAAAGTCTCCCATTGTTAAGCTTTATGCTTAACTACAAACAAATAAAATCAAATTCTTGAGTACAACAAATGTTTACTAAAAGCTTGTCAAATTTCATAGAATACATTTGGTACATTCAGAGTTATAGTACGTAAAGTTTCCCAGTTAAATGGTGGTTACAAGATCAGGCAAACTGACCAGATTTTGATCAGCCTGTATTCAATTACGAGGTGAAGTATGGTTGAAGAGAAGGTTATGTATAGGAATCTCCAACTGGCAGAGACCTCTACCTTGCAGACGTTCCCTGCTCTTTGAAGACTAAAACAAACGAATGGTTATGTAAATAGAATCTTCAACTCTTTTAGTTTGGCCCCTATGGTAATAACTTTCTCAAAATCAAATTGGGCTGCAGAAAAGATGGTACAACTCTTGAAGGTTGGGTAGTGTTTAGGCTTTTTTTACTATTTTTGAAGTTGGCAGTAATATTGTCCCTAAATGAAAAAAATTGCATATTTTCTCTAAGAGAGGTAAAACCCTCTATACAGTGTGTTGTTTTCTTATTTATGAGTGTTAGGAATTCAAATGTTTACTATGCATTTTGAGTTTTAATACAAATTTTGAAAAACTTTTTTTTTAATGGTGCATCTATTTATTTGGTGTTAAATTGCTTATACTGCTATTCATTGTAATATTGAAGGGTTCTCCTTATATGTTTTGATTTATTTAGGGGTTTCATTATATATCTTAGTTTATTTATCTGCATAGTGTGTTAGAATATCCCTTCTAAGGGGTATATCTGAATATTGTAAAAAATAATTTTATTACTTAATTTCCATTGTTAAAGGTTTTGTTAGTGTGTTTGTACTTAAATCATTGTAAAATTAATGAACCACTTGTGAAATAATTGCAAAGTCACTTAAGCCTTCCTGTTTAAATGCCAAATCAAATGTAAGTATGACTTAGGGTAGTCATTTAGAGCCTTGGGAGTTTTGGAATGATAGACCAATAAGGACTTGATTTTGAATCACCCTCAGCATTGCCCAAAAAAGAAGTATTAACTGATTTTTGGCAGCCTTAAAACCTGGTATCAACTTCTCTTCCATACAAATAATATAATACAACACATAATATCAGCACCCGCAAGAAAAACCATGTGTTCTGGACAAAAGCAAAGTAGAATGAAGCAACAAACTGTATCATGCATGGAATGGAACATCATACACCATTGACTAGGAATGATGCTGGATGTGTCAAGAAAAAGGTACTTTTCTATTAATATGTATAGATTTCATAGTTCTACACCCCAGTCAGCAGAGGTGACTACTAGTGGTACTGATGGGGCTTACAGTCTATTTACACATTATTTATACATACTTTCAAGACAGACGCACTTATATTAAGTTTATATTTGTAATTATTAAAAAATTTGTATATACGTCATACATTTGCTATAATGATAATTACAAAATAAAAGATAAAAAAATTTAATTATTGCTCATAGAAAGAACAATGAAATGGACCAACAATATTACTGACTATTTACAAATAGTAACCACGAATGCAAGGTTACAAAAGTAAAAAAATAATTGTATGAAACAGGAACAACAATATTACTGACTATTTACAAATAGTAACCACGAATGCAAGGTTACAAAAGTAAAAAAATAATTGTATGAAACAGGAACAACAATATTACTGACTATTTACAAATAGTAACCATAGAGGCAAGGTTATAAAAGTAAAAAAAATAATTGCATTAAACAGGAACAACAATATTAATGACTATTTACAAATAGTAACCATAGAGGCAAGGTTATAAAAGTAAAAAAATAATTGCATTAAACAGGAACAACAATATTACTGACAATTTACAAATAGTAACCATGGAGGCAAGGTTATAAGATTAAAAAAAATAATTGCATGAAACAGGAACAACAATAAAATGGACCAACAATATTATCAACTATTTACAAATAGTAACCATGGAGGCAAGGTAATAATATTAAAAAAATAATTGCATAAAACAGGAACAACAATAAAATTTTATTGCAAAAGACCTCTCAACATGGATCACATGGGTTCATAAGCTAGTAGAATATAAACTTTATAAATTAGAGGTTCAAAATTCATAGAAATGAATTTTAGCCTTCTCTATAACAAATTGGTTACTTAATTTAGAAGTTCAATTATCACAAATTTCCATATAACGAGTCTCTGTACAGTGAAGGTATACTGTATAATGTCAAGGATAAGGTATCATTAACCACAAATAACAAAAAAAAGGATTAATTGATGCATCAGGAAAAATTTTAAAACTTCTACTTGGGACTTCACTTGAGATGATGACATAAGAAAAAAAAGTTAAATGAGAAAGCAGCATTCCACAGTTAGAATAACATGAAAGAACAAGCTACTGTAATAAATATATTAAATACTCCTAACAACACTATGCTTGGTAAAAGTAGTAACATGCATATTGATGAAGAACAGCAATAAAAAAATTCAAGAACAATCTGAGTTTCAGTACAATTTTCTAAGATTGAAAGGGGAGGAGGTACGATATAAGTTGAGTAATAAATAGGGAACTTAATAAATGAGAACTAAAGTGATAATGAAATAACTTTGAACATTACACAAAGAAAACCAGTTTTTTCTGTAACAATTGGCTTTGTAAGAAAGAGTAGAGACAGTGAATACATGCTACTTAAGGAAAGGTTAAGTGCAATTTAATGAGTTAACTATGCCTATGAATGGGTTAATTGCTAATCAAGTGGAATAAGCACATTGCTTGTTTGGCCATGTGCAGTAGAGTCATTAAATGAAACCTGGGACAGAGTTTCAAGAAACAAAAACAACTGTGACCTGCTTATAAGAAAGGGTTTGTATATCATGAGTCATGGTTATGTCATTATAATTAAATTGTTAAATGTCACTATTAAGTGCAACAAAACCTCTAAATAGCCATAGATGGAGTCCCCCCCCCAAAAAAAACAGCTGTGAAATGCAAGAACTCGAGGATATAAATTAAGCACATATCAATTTCTACAAGTGTGGGTGTTTGTTGAGATAAACATTTAGCACTGTTGAAAACTGATTAAAATCACAACTAAGTCCCTTTTGGCACAAATAAGACCAATTTAAAAGTTTATCAGAGTTCAGTTGGTATGTATTTTAGTGTGGGTTCTATGGGATAGTGTGCAAGCATAATGAATGAGAATCACCCATGTTACTATGGTTAAGTAGCACACTATGAAATCTTGTTCCTAGCTAGCATAATAAGTCAGAGAGACAGAGAATAAGAAACCAGAATTAATCAAAATGTCAACTCTTTTCATAAGTCCAGATGGAAACCCAAAATCTTTTCAGCCATTAAGTGTTTATTTGTATTACAAGAAAGAAAAAAAATATTAACTTTTGAGGAGATGAATGTTTCAAAAGGTAAATGATTTAATTGTAATTATGAAGCCAAGAGTATTAAAACAAATATATAATGATTTATGAATTAAAGTATATTGGAGCAAACTGTGTCTTATCTCAACATATATAACAACTGTTTTGTTTGTATTAGATGGTCTCTCTTTTCAATCTAGCTTGCACTATAGAGGTTCCTAAGAGATGGACAAACTTGTGAGTCACGGCTTATTCATTATTTATACTCAACCTGGAGAGAGAAGTCATTTCTGTCTCACATACAGGTCATATGACATTGATGAAGTTAAACTGGTTTACCTCTTCCTGTTTCCTTATTTATCAAAACTTACATTATGGAAAGAAAAACTGTAAAATATATGGTTAAGTTATAACCTATCTGACTTTATTTTATCTTAAACTTAAAAGAAGATAATTTTTAATGTAAATGGAAGAGAAAATAAAATGAAAAGAATAATTACATTCCTTTGAACTGGAGATTACAGAAAACTTACATAAATAGTGAAGTTTGTGACTTTGCATTGCACAAGTTAACATTTTCTTAAATGTATTTCTCTTAATACTTACCTTCCCTAACAGTTGAGTAATAGCTGTTGTGTGGGAGGAGGTAAGTATTATGGAATACAATTTTATTTTTAATGAGGAAGTGGTAAATATGTTCAACTTATTTATTAGGGGTGTTTCTAGCATCTTATAAGATGTATCTGTGATTTCAACCTAGCCTCAACCCTTCCTATAGATGTCCTTGTCTAATGCAATTAATAAAAAAGTTACTAGACATTGAATTGGTTCACATTAGGACTGCTATGGCATTAAATTCAAATTATCATAACAAGTTTGATTATTTCATTATTACGTTAAACAACTACTGATACGATTATGTTCAAGAGATGACTGGTTTTATTTGTTCAACTTACCACGCTACACACACACATAGAAAAGCAATGAGGTTTATTATACATTGATATAATTACAAAATGTTCCTGGACCAAGAACTCATTGGACTACAATTACTTAACTGCACAATACATTACATAAACATTTAGATTTTACACTGAAAACATTAAAATAAATATACAGAGAATTACAGAAGTTTTTCATTTAACTTTTTCTGAAATGAAAAGAAAAACAGTGAAATAAAACATTCAAAGAATATCTATAATAGATTACGAATGGACAAAATTAATTGAACTTGAAATCGAAATTCTCGTTTTAAAAAGCAACATCGAAGCTGATATAATCATCACAGCTGAAACTCTTGTAAAAGAAGACACAAATATAAACATTCCTGGCTTTAAGTCATACACTAGAACTGTAACCAATGATGATAGAGGAATTGCAATTATTTTCAAACAAAGTGTGACACATTGCATTTCACAGAAATAAGTTCAAAGATCAACGACAGAATCTTTTGCAACCTACACATTAACAATATACAAACTATTTCCTTCCTGGCCATGTATTATTTTCCAAGCAGTGGCAGACTGGCCCACCGGGATACCGGGAAATTTCCCGGTGGGCCCCAAAGTGATGGTCTATCACTGGAAATAATGGTGCTCAGAAATTTCATTGAGGCAGCAAATCAAATGTTTGACGATGATGAAGAAACTAATTTTGCAAAAGAAGGGGAATCCAAAAAGATGAGAACATCAAAAAAAAGAGATGAATGCCTGGTGAACTCCAGAGGGATGATTCCCCGGATGAAAGAAGTGATGATTCAGTGGGTCGCTACAGGGTGGAAGTGTTTCGTCGAGTATTATTGGACATTTTTCTAACAACCGTGAACTTGTAACTGACACAGCGTGTTTTGATCCACGTCGTTTCCAAGAACTCAAAGAAGATGGATTGCCACCAGAAGCACTGAAAAACATATGCAATCGTCTTGGTTTGGGCAAGCAGGAACTGAGCAATGAATTGCAGTCTTTCATCCTAACCTTCAACAGCCTTTCGAAAAATTTTAATGAAGAGTTTGCAACAACCAGACACCTAGAATCAGAACAGATACTTCAAACTCACTTTGATGTAATTTCAGGTTCACGTTGCACTTCTGGAATATCGTGTAGGAAGTGCCTGCTTTACTGTTTCCGTATCCTATTTAAGTATTTGCACGCATCTGCATACTCGAATTTGTTCTTAGCTTACAAACATCTTTTGACCCTGTCGTTCACACAAGTCAGTTGCGAATGCACATTCAGTAAGTTGAAAATTGTAAAAACCTTCGCTATCAAATGAGCTACTTGAAACTTTTATGCTGATGGGCATCGAAAAAGATTTACTTTCTGAAATTGCTGTGGATGATATTATTCCTTTCCTTGTGAAAAAATTGACACAGTTTTCTAGATTGCTTGCTGTCTGGGTGATTTGTGCTTTGTAAATTACAGAATTTTGACTGTTTTAGTGATATGTGCACACATTAAAAAAAGCACATGTTCCAATTTTAATTATACTTTGAAAACAATTTCAAATTATGGTTTGTAAATTACTCGGATTGGTTGTTCTATGATTGAGATTTTCTTTTTATTATAAGATTATTAAAATTTTCTAGTATTTGTATTAGGCACACATTAACATAAATAAATACAACAATATTGAATATATGTAACATTTTATTTGCTTAAAACCTTTACTTTTATTTGATTCCTTTGACTACGTTTTGGGATTAAGTGGGCCCTTTTACAAGTTTTCCCAGTAGAAATTTTAGACCCAGTCCACCACTGTCTCCAAGTAAACCACTTGACATTAGGTATTTGCAAATCTGTTTGAATAGACAGCCCATACCATTTATTGTGGGAAACTTTAATGTCTCCCCACACTAACTTTCACAGCCTTTGTACTAACTCTAGAGGATTAGCTCTTTACTTGCTTCTTGAAAGCAACAACATGCATGCCATAAATGACAACACACTGATCCATTATAATGATAATCACCACTACACTTTTAACTATGTTCTAGAACTTCTTAGTACACCCTGCAGTGTCTAGCAACCAATTTCCTTTACAAAACAAATCAACAAACAAAACATCTGGATTAACCAAACTACCACCAGTAAATAACTACACCAAGACTGACCGGAAAAGTTTCAACACACTTACTCAATCCAGCCAACACTGCTTCCTGTAAAGATGACCTAGATGCTTATGTAAATGATATTACTAAAGTCATTTCCAAGACTACACAGACAATAATCCCTTTCACCTGTAAAGGTTCTGCACTTCACAACTGGATGTTTACTCCTGAAATACACCATCTAACACTTGAACAAAGGTGATTTAGAAGATTATTTATGACAACTCATGACACTGCACTCAAACTTCAAATCAATTGGCTGCATGTGCTAATGAAAAGAAAGATCGAAGTCTTAAAAATTGACAACTGGCCACATTTTCATAACTTATTAGGAAATAAACACAATCAATCAAAAGAATTCTGTAAAAATTTCAGATCACTTTCATCTGATGAAAATAATAATTTGTTTCATCACATTGAGCAGTTACCAAGACTGACATTGACAAAGCCAACCTACTCGCTGACTACTATTCAAATTCCTTCTCAGACACCAACTCTCCTTCCTTTAGTCAACCTCTCAAACAAAAGGTTGACAATCACACCTCTACAAGGCTGGAGTTATACATTCCACAATTTCCAGCTACTAATATCAATGAAACTATATTCATCAATAACACTGACATGTCTAAAAGAAAAAATCACCAAAAGTAACCTAAAAATTAAAATAAAATCTCTTAAAACTCATTCCTTGGACATGACGATATTTAATACATAATTCTCAAAAATGCATCAGATAAACTACTAATGTACTTATTCAACATTATAAACTTATCACAATTAACAGAATGTTAACTTGACTCATGCAAAAAAGCCACTATTATAATCATCCCTAAAACCACATACATAATACATAATTCTCAAAAATGCATCAGATAAACTACTAATGTACTTATTCAACATTATAAACTTATCACTATTAACAGAATGTTAACTTGACTCATGCAAAAAAGCCACTATTATAATCATCCCTAAAACCACATCAAACAGCTCCAACCCCAAAAATTTCAGAACAATCAATCTTCTAAGCTGCTTAAGCAAACTCCTAGAATGGATAGTATCCAACTGATTACTTCTTTTTAATGAAAACAACAACCTACTTCCGAACATCCCAAACTTTTCCTGCAAAGGAAGACAAACCATAGATCACATATCCAGACTCACAGAATCAGTCTACAAGTCCTTTAATAATAACTAAGTAACCTTAGCTGTAATCGTAGCTATCAAAAAACATCCAAAACTTTTCCAACAAAGGAAGATAAACCATAGATCACCTATCTAGACTCACAGAATCAGTCTATAAGTCCTTTGATAATAACCAAGTAACCTTAGCTGTATTCGTAGCTATCAAAAAACATCCAAAACTTTTCCAACAAAGGAAGATAAACCATAGATCACCTATCTAGACTCACAGAATCAGTCTATAAGTCCTTTATCGATAACCAAGTAACCTTAGCTGTATTCATAGATGTCAAAAAAGCCTTTGATACCAGCTGGCAAAATGCCATCAGATACCACCTTCATGATATGAAAGTAAACAATATAATAATCAGATGGATCTCAAATTTTCTACCAAACTGATCAACTGTAGCAAAAATAAATAATACTTTGTTAAAATCATTCAACATCTCAGCAGGAGTTCTGCAAGGCTCAGTCATTTCCCCACTCCTCTATATTCTGTTTGTGAACAACATACTGTTTCCTGACCTAACACATATTTCTCACAATATGCTGATGATATTGCTGTTTGGAGCGTATTGAGTACTTAGCAAACAGCTACTGACAGAGTTTAAAAATCTCTAGATGTAATCATCAGCTGGTGAAATGACTGGTGAGTACTACTTAACCCATTTAAAACTCAGAGTGTTATCTTTCATTCCAGTTTAAACAAACAGTTCAAAATATTAAAAAATACTAAAATCAGGTAAAAAAATATGCTTCTGCACCAAGTTTCTTGGTATTACTTGTGACACCCACCTCACTGGGATTTAACATTTCAAAAACATAAATAAATCCACCAGTAAACAAATTACTTTTCTGACACTCATAGCAGGAAAAAACAAAGGTTATAAACCCCCCAACAATTTGAAAATTTACAAAGCATATACCTGCTCAGTAATTGAATATGGTTGCCAAGTCACTTTCAACATGCCCCAAAGCATTTGTAACATACTTCAATTACAGCAAAACAGAATTCTAAGATTAGCCCCAAGGTTTATTCCCATTAAGTACATACATAAAATATGCAGTCTGTCCCCAATCAATGATAGACTAACAACCCTCACAAATAACTACCATCACAAAGCAGGAACAAGAAACACTCTAATGTAGTATTTTTCAACTGGGGTTCCACAAATTCTGTAACTAGCAGATGTTTTTTTATCCTAACTATTAAAGTGAGCTTCTCATTCTTATGGGGATGTAAATCCAACTTCTAAATGAGGTTCCAGTGTTTTCCTGTCACAAACCTACTTGCAGTTGATGCAGTTCCTTTGTTGTCCCAAATTCACAACCACTCTTAGTGGAATATTTTCATATATGTAGATTAGTCATTTTTAGTACACGATGTGTCATTTTCTTGACCAATGGCATTTCAGGACCTGAAGTCATGATTGACCATAATATGTAGCAAAATTTAAAGAAAAGCTCTAATGTGATACCTATTTAATTGAGGTCAACACCTGTTTTTGAGCTAGCTATACCCAATTTTACTGTCCTAGTGTTGTTTTTAGGGTTTATTATTATTTTATGCTGTGCATTTTTGGTCTGTTATCCTAAATAAATAAAGTATTGGTTTAAAAAATATTATAACAGATTTTTTCTGCAAAGTAGCTTAAAAGAAATGAATAAGTTTCTTAGTAAGAAACCTCAATCAATCAATCAAATTGAAGAAGTGGCACATTTTGAAAGTCAAGAAAATTCAGTAAAATCAAGTACTAGCAGCACAACCTTACAACAATGCAAAGTTCACTAATATATTGGGAGCTATCTATTTAGTGCCCTCTACCACTGTGTATTCATTGTGGAGAAAGGCTGGCAAACACTGCCATGGCACCATCCAAGTTACAATGGCACTTTTCAAGTAAACATGGACACTTAGCCCGCAAAAATGAGGAATATTTTATGAGACTTCTGAGCTAGGAAAAAAACCAAGCCTCAGCATCTGAAAAGACAAAGTGATAAAGCTCAAGAGGCAAGTTATCTTGTGGCTGATCTCACTGCTAAAGAAATGAAAGCCCATATATTAATACAGCAGAGGTAAGTATGTTTGGAAATACATTTTCAGTTTAGGAAAATGATAACTTCCAAAACATACATACCTCCACTGACACTAATAACTACAGAATGATGTGTTTCAAACTACCGAATTTATGAAAGAAAGAAAGCAAAAACAAAGTGGACAACCCTTCTGATCAACCTAAAGAAGTCCAAAAGGCAACATCCCAGGTCTGGATTGATGGGATCATATGCCATATTCCACCAAAGTCCAGAACTCATCCAGTCTGGATTTACAAACAGTTGTCTTTACTCCCCCACCAAGTGGGCAAGAAGAATTCTGCTTACCCATTAAATTAAGGAGAGGATATGGAACACTGTTCCACCAAGGGCCAAAGATGGGACCACACCGCATTTGGATTTACGAGGAGATAGTGGACCCCCTGCATGAACAACATAAGACCTGACAGTGTTCAAAAGAGGGTCCAAGCACCCTCCACCGGATAGCTAAGCTTCAAATCTGGTCTGGTTTTATGAGTAGGCTTCTGCATAGGTTGGTCCTGCTCCTACCAACATCTGGGAAAAACTTCCAGGGACAGCCAGGTAGGAGGATCCCCAACTTCACCCTCTTCTCCAAGAGTGAAGAAAACTCAACACTCCAAACACAAATTCTTTGTCCAACACCCCAGCAACTAGGAACTGAGTCTGGTAAGGACTCCCGAGCTCCACTAGTAGATGTAAGGGGGGAACATAAGCACTGGGGAGTCCTGAGGAACAGGTCTCCAGAGACAGTACAACAGGTGAACCACGTTCCCTAATTTTTAAAAGCAAACTGATCTCGACTGATTCAGCTCTAAGATCAGCAGGGATTGGCAAAATCCCCTTTGCTTTACTCATAATAGTCCATGAGTAGCAGTCCATCAAAAACATTGTAATATAATACCACCATCCAGAATTGCATCCATATGGTCTTATGGAACATCTCATCTCGACAGAGCTCATTGCAACCAGGAACCGATATAAAAGTTGCTTGTGCAGAACTTAAATACAAGCATACCCGACTGAGCAAAAAAAAAAAAAACCAATAGGGACCCTAGAAGAGAAAGGAATAATAACTGTAAGTCAGATAACACATTACTCACCAACCTGTTAAATCTAGTAGTCAACACAGCCACGGGGGAAAGATGAAGTCCCTTCGAAGAGGAAACTGTCAGATCTTGAAGATAATGAGATATGAACGTGTCGGGTCAAGTCCACATACTGGCCCGCAAAATATCTCCCGAGAATAAGGACAGAAATGATTAAGAGAACCAATGAAGGAGGAGTGGAAGGAGGGGACCTTGAGACATGAGGATATGAACATGCAGAAGTACAAATGGAAGTAGAATAGGGTTGAGCAGCCAAAGACGATAAAGAAGACTGCAAACATGCTATATTAACTCTGGCTTCTAAAGATTCTGGAATTCCAGCAAATAAATAAGGCCGAAGAAAAGGTCCTTCCCAGAAATCTCAAAAAGCATAAGGTAAGTGAATACCCTCCAAAAATGCATCATGACTCAACAAGTCCCAGCAACAGACCAACAACAACACCAAGGCAAGTCCTGAAGAGGACAAATATGTCATAACAGTGACCAGTAAATGGCCCAGTTCATCATCAATATGTTGAGGCAATTGGTGATAGGCCTCAGACAAAAGTTGAAGGGAAGAAAAGTATCTTAAAACAGTAGTAAGAGTCAAACGAATCCATGAAAACTGTGACCTGTTAAGAGAGATAACAGGTTCATACTTGGCACCCCCCATAGATCCAACATCGGATTCAACCTTTGAGTGTCCAAATATATATCATCCTGATGATGATACGACAGGGCATGTTGTTCCGATAAACGAGGGAGGGAAGGCATAGCAACACCTTCACATAATTGTGTTGCAAACCTTCCTGCATGCACAGCAATATCAGGAGAAGGAGGAAAACTAAATAATCCCTTTGAGAACGATTGGACAACAAAGCAGGGGTAGACTCAAAAGCAACTGGTTGTATCTCCAAAACTTCACAAAGAAAAAGGGGCAGAAGGTGACTGATCAGATGAGTCCTCAGGAGAGGAAGCTCTAATGAAAGAAGGAGCAGGAAACAGGGAGTTTAAATTCTCCCCAGAATATCCCAATTAAGAATGAAAATTCAAATCAGTACCTTCCAAAGAAATACACCTAGGCCACATGAAGGACTCAATCTCATCTCAAATCTGAGTAGCCTCTTTACTTGAAACTGTTACATGGGTATTCATATCCAATTTCTTTTTGTAACATATTTGTAGGAAAAAAACAAATTCAATGAAATATATCTCTGGATAACAAAACAAAGAAATCCCAATTATTAAAAAAGCAGAAACTAAGAAAATGTAAATCACAAAATGTTAGTCTGAATGCTCGCGCTTTATTGAGAAAAAGTGATTTTATTGTCTGCATACAATGCTTATATACAGTACCTGCACAGAGGGGGTGTGAGGGCCAGGGTAAAGTTTTGCAAATTAGATATTGCCAAGGGCAGTGGAGGGGGTATGTAAAGACTGGAGCAAGCAAACACAACGTTAGACGGTAAAGATGAAAATCGAGAAATAGCTATTAGTGTCAGCGGAGGTATGTATGTTTTGGATTATTGCTGAATCCCTGATTTTACCTGCCTGTTGAGCAGTAGTGAAGATAATCTTGGGAAAAGAAGCACAGTGGGAAATTGACAACACCATAGGTAGTAGAATTACTAATATGTCACCTGATATTGAAAATAATATTATTGATAAGCTAAAAAGTGTGAGTTCTTTGCACTTCAAGTGGATTAATCCACAGATATAGGTTGTAAAGCACAGCTTTTAGTATTCTTACTTTTTGTTAACAAAGGAGTAAGAATTTAATAATTTCTTTGCTGTAAAGAGCTACCCTGAAACAACAAAATCACGTATTTTTGCAAAACAGTACAGAACAGCTCACTCACGAGAAGAAGAGTTGACATATATCCTGCATGACAGAACACTGAAACTGAAATATTCAGGACTTGATTTTGATCCATTTTGGATTGGAGTTGAAAATGAATATCCCAACATCAGAAAGAAGGCAGTGACAATTCTGCTCCAATTTTCAACTACTTATCTTTGTGAATTTTGATCTTATGCTCTTACTAATATGGAAAGTCAAAAAAAAAAAGAACAACTTTTATCAATCGAAGAAGAACTTTGAGTGTGCCTGTCAATGATTTGGCCAAGAAATCAATCTCAAATTTCACACTAAAAAGCTATTTTTCTCTACAAATGTTTAAGTTATCTTTATCTTCTTTTTTGTAAACATTTTTTATTTGGAATTAAAATCAAAATATAGAATTTCACGGTATTTTGTAAGTGAAAGTAATGATGGATATTTTTTTTTCTTATTACTAATTTGTAATTGAATTGTGTAGCTGTTATATAAATTACTTATTACTAATTTGTTTTTTCTTCTTCATTTATCATAAGTTTGTTTATAAAAGAAGAGGAAATAATGGATAGAGAAGATGGGGTTCCAGAAAATATTACCTGCTACTTGCTGGATTCCTTGACCAAGAAAAGGTTGAAAACCACTACTCTAATAGCATCTCTACACACTAAGTCAGGCACTCAAAACAATCTTCCCATACAACAAATATCTAATCTCTAAATCAACATAGATATTACATCACAACACTTTGCAACTGCACACACATAATGCACATACTGATATGTTTAACTTTATTTATGTGTTTCTTTTCAGCCTGGGTATAGAACAGATAGATTTTTCAGAACCTGCCCTATAGAAGTTTTTTTTTTCCAGCATTGGATTTATAGATCCCAGCCACTTTGCGACCCTGGCTATGGGATGTTTCCTTCTGCATGGTTTGTCGAACATTGTCACTTTACTTCTGTCCACTGATTACCTCAATTTAGCCACTGCCTCAACTCTGCCATATGACAAACTGCATAACACAACCAAAAACCATTTTTGCCTTACTCATAACTCCAACTCTATTATAACAATCTACAATAATCTTTCACATGTGTCAAATAAACTAATTTATGCAAGTGGGATAAAGAGGGATACACCCCAATTGGAGAAAGGTCCTTTCCCATAACAAGTGAATCCCTGCCATGATAAAAACAAATTTCCATGTGTGCATGTGATGAAGTAATGAACTAGAGCAGACATTACCTTATATGTGGACATGTTAAGGAGTAATCAACCAGAATAAAATATCGACATCTATGTGTTACATGAAGGAGTGATGAGCTATGACTAAACATAATATACTAATTGGTATATGTTAATGAGTAATAAATGACTTCTAAACTTTAAGTCCTATGAGCTATGTGTGTGAAGGAGGAATAAAGTAGATCTGAACAGCAACTTCTATGGGTTATCTGATAAGGCCAGGAGGATGAGGCATAAAACAGTAGGAGTGAAGTTAATCCTGAAGGAAACACCTGGTGTGGAACTAACTGGTCAGGAGAAGAAAATAAACTACAGGTAGAAGGTATATTTAAGATGGATGGGAAAAGTCAAAAGACATACATTAGCTAGAGAAGTATTTGGTGGAAAAAATTGCTCCATTTCCCCTTCTTCAACTTTAGCTTCATAATTCTGTGAAGGGAAATGTTTGGCAGGGACAGAAGAAAGAGTTCCAGGTGGCAACATGGGCCCCCACCACATGTTTGGTGATGGCTTTCACAATCTCAACAAACAAAGAACTTCCTAAATTGTTGGTAACTGTGACTTATATTTGTACTCACTTCAGCAAAAAACAAATTCACATTAATTTGGAAATTCATATTGAAAGGTTCAAAACACAAAGCAGTTGAAGTAAAATACTTAAAAAATTACACATGGATCACATTCCTATTGATAGAGTGTTTTGCTACAAGATACATCATCATGGAGTAGCACAACTTCTCGTGTTTTCATGTGCATTTTATGAGGAAGTTTCACAAGGCTGGTCGCATGCAAGTCTCTCAAGCAGTAAAGTATGACTTCAAGAAGAAAATAGATAATCTGTGTATGAAGGTGAGTGATCATATCAAAATTAAGGTAATCACTTTGAGATTGTTCCTTACCAAACACCTGACAACCATTAAAGGTTACCATTTTATATTAGCAATCTAATAAAAACATTCTTTTTACAGTTTTCTGAAAAAACACTTAACAATGCGTTTTATCTCTAGCCTTTGACTTTTTTCTAGCTAACAATATTTTAGAACACTAGGACACAAACATCATAGCTCGATGGTTTCTTTACTGATTAAACCCTCCTGTGTTTTAAGTTTCTACTGTCTCAAATTTTTTGTCCTCATTACGCTAGGATTATTTCTAAAAGAGAATACTTTTCCCCATGTTGTAAGGCTTAGCTATAACATGACACCCATCAACATAATTCAGTGACTTCTACTTGAAACATTCCAAAGATAACACCCTCAAAACATCTGCTCTAAGAACCAGGATATCTCAGATATGTTACCAATACATTTGTAATATAGTCTCTCTCTGTTGACAAGATTCCACAATTCATGAACCATCTGAACAGACAATGATCAACGATATATTTCACAACAAAATAGAAAAAGATTAGCTCTCTTTCCTAGAAATGATGATCATCAAGCCAGCTCATATGCAACTATTTACAGAAAACTCAAATATATTAAAGATCAAATCACCATAACAGTATAATGATGTACATCACAGACTGCCTTACCTTCAGAAAGAACAAGATTTGTAACACAGAAGATAGCTCTTATTGACAAGAGAAACCCTGAATATTTGATGAATGTAAAGAAAAAACAGTAAGTATATATATATACACCTGAAAAAAAGTTAAGCACCCCCAAATATTTTTCAGGATTGCTTATTGAAAATAAGGTTTAATTTTCATGATGTTGAGCGATGTTCATAATTTCAAACATAATTAAAAGGATGTGAGCGTTCAGGTGTGACATTTAAATCAGGTGCATTTT